GGAAGCCCGAGGCAGAGTTGCTCTGCCCCGGGCTTCCTGGAATCAGCTGCTGATCAGTTTCAGCAGCAGCTGACTTGGGGACGCTTGGGGTTCTTAAGTTGATTCTGTATGTAAGTCAGACCTGGCGGTCAGTTTCAGCAGCGGCTGAATCTGGACGCCAGTTCCGACTTACATACAGATTCAACTTAAGAACAAACCTACAGTCCCTATCTTGTACGTAACCCGGGGACTAAAGCAATAATGGGGAGCAGCTAGGTACTGCTCATGTGTGAAAAGGATAACACACTTCTGAACAGAGAATCACTCATTCTCTCATTTATAACTTGGTTATCTGATACACTGTTTTTCCTTATTCTGTTATGAACATGCTCCTCAATATTCAGTATTATTCACATGTCCAGTTTTTGAGACTTTTGGGGAAAATGTTACATTAGCTTTTTACAATCAAGAAAGTATATTTTTCCAACTCTCCAATATGTCATGAATGGTTCAACAGATGTGTTTGTATACTAAAAGATGTGTTTGTATACTAAAATCAACAGATTTTGTACAATTTCTCCTATTTTTTTCATCTGAGTCCAATCATAGCACACTTCCAGTGTACAGATATTTGCGTTAATAATAATAGAAAGAAATATTTATAAATAACTTCATAAAAAGAGATGGATTGGAGAAATAATAGAAATATTTGAAAAGTTAGCTATTAGTAATAACAAACAGATGTCATAAATTTTCTTTTATTTCAAACAATTTCAAGAAATTGACACATTACAATTTTCAACCATTTTACTATAGTTTAATCCTAAAAAAATTACATTAAAAGAATGTTATTATGATTGCACCGTCAAGCACTCAACTACAGGTTCCATATACAATCTTAATTTTTGGCTTGCCCCTGCATATTATATTACAATCTTTACTTATATGAATATATACTATTTTCATGGGACAATTGGATGAACTTTGCCCAGCCAATTTCAGTTCTCCTCTCCCAACTCGTCTGATTCCACCTCATTGCCTAGCAGTTTTCCTTTCCAGGTTCCTCATCTAATCTCAGAGAGAATTCCTATTTCCTTTCTGCTCCTTGTCCCATTCTCCCTCCTGCCTGGCTTGTTGTCCCACTTTCTTTGTGAAGCCACTCCCTGTTCTCCTCACAGTTCTTATCTTATGTCTAACCTTCCTCAACCCTTGTTCCTCGCCTTCTGGTTCTTAGACTCAGGGTATGTCTCAGGGTTTGTCTACACTACTGCAGTAAATCAACTTAATATATACAACTCACCAAGAGGGAGTTAGTGTAAGTTTAGGAAAAAGAAAGGCTCCCTGCTCTTAGTTCCAGTTTCTGGTTCTACCCAGACTCCAAACAGTTGGGAGCAGGTGTTACATGGAAAGTCTGGATTTGTCCCTGTAGTCCCGAGCTGGAGCATCCACATGCAAAGTCCTATTATATGTAAGAAGTGTGAGAGAATGTCACAGGCAAATTTGATCAGCAAGAGAGTTTTGGATTTATGCTCAGAGAAGACATCTTTCTGAGATTAAACTCTTAAAATTGACACAAGTCTCTACAATGAGTGTGAAAAGGGAAAGCCTTTTTCAAAGGCTTACAATTTGGCTAAATTGGGCATATTTTCACAATGATGACAAAAGGCACATCCTTTACACAAAGGCCATCCAACTTGTCCAGTTTCAAGCCCTCTTTTCCAAAGTCAGATGGTATAAGGATGTTAGAGGAATGGGACCTAACTTTTTAATAAGTCCAAAATTGTGG